AGCTTTCATACAGTCTAAATTGTTAAAATTTTTTGATTTAGTGGGATATAAGACTGCAGTGTTTATGTATAAAGCCAGGAACAATTTATTACCTGGTGGAATTCAAAAACTATTTAATGAAAGGGAAGGGGGATACAATTTAAGACATCAGTTAAATTTAAAAATTCATGCTATACGTACAACCAAAAAAAGATTCTGTATTTCCATAAGTGGAGTAAAACTATGGAATAATTTAAGTGCGGACATAAAAAATAGTAATGGATGGATGGATCATTGTGGGTGTGGTGTATGAATGTTAACATTCTGTTATAATTCTTTAGTATATTACTTGTGTGGTGTAGAAGAGAATTATCTATGTAGAGATACTGCTTGCAAACCAATGATGGTAAGATGATGTCATGGGGTAGGACTGGATAAGTCTGACTTCTTCCTACTCCATTCAAGCATGTACTAGGTATAAGCAAATTGATATTGGATTAGCATTTGTTGGACATGTGTAAAATTATGTGTGTTGACATATCAACTGTCTTTACATGCTTGAAAGAAAGAATAAATCAAATCAATTCAAAGAAGAAGTTAGGCAGCAGGCTGAGCTTTAAGCAGGAACACTGGTAAAATGGGAAGCCCTGAGTTGTTGGAAGAGATGTGGAATATAAAAGGTATGATTGAGAATAGTGTGCTTTATTTGGTTCAGCTATGTGTTCTATTTAAAACACATGCAAAACACAGATACACAAGGACATTCAGTCTCAAGGTGTGAGTTTCACCTGGCATTGGGGGCACAGCGAATGTACATGCATCCCACCCTGTTCCCTCGGCTGGACCTGGTCAGGAATACGTCCGTCACATCCAGCTCTCTCTGCGAATACTGGAACTCTCCTCCTGCTCCTCCTCTGTCACCCCCGCTACCAGTACTCAGCCGGGATCGCAGCCCTGGGGCTCCAAGTGATGGCAGAGCAGCTCCAGAGCTGCATCCAGCAGTCCCCGTACCAGAACCTGGATCTGGGTCAGGGATAAGGGCATAGGTGGGTTCTGGTGGGAGGAAAGCCAGTTTGGCTGCAATGCGACTGGGGCAAGGGGGGCAGCAGAACAGGCAGCATAGCTCTCGTATGGACAGACCGTTCATCTTCTGACAGAAAAATAAACATGGAACAGAACAATTAGGTGGCAGAAAACTGAGAGGAAGAACAGCTTGTGACAAGCAAAGCCTTTCATTCTCAGCAAGGTTTCTTACAGTTTTCCAGTCTACTCAGGAGAAATGATAATATTGAAATGAACATATGAGCATACCTGGATTCAGAAATCCCCAGGTCTTGTAAGTAACTGGCACACAATGGTGCCAAAGTCTTCTGGGATAGTCACTGAGCCAGCTGGACCATAATAAAATAAATAAAAGGTCATATTTAAATGGCTTGTCTCTGTGCAACAACGAACTGTACATGACAACTTAAAAAGTCACAAAGACATGACCACTTAGTTGGCCTGGTCTTTAAATGTAGGTCTTTGTATGGCTTTTATGTGTTCATATGAATTGACGGATAATATATATTAAGAGGTCTGTACTATTCTTTCTAGGCATTTAGAACCAAATAAAATTAAACAGACACTGAGAAAAAGATAAACAGCAACCTTGTATCAGAGCTATGAGGAAGCGACAACCTCATTTTAAACAAAATATTAGATTCATTTAATTGACAGTATTAGTATTAGCATAACAGCAGCTCCTTAGAATTTTTAAGGCAAAAGTTACTGGCATAATTCATGTTCTGAAGCTGCTAAAATCTCAATGCGGGATTAAAGGGATTCAGATACCATGACATGATCGCGGATATTGGTAACTAATTAGATCAGCAGAGACGCGACATCTGTGCTAGTGTGGCTATATGGATGATCACGGTATTAAACCTGTAACGCTAGCCTGTGATATCGGACATATAACGAGAGCGTTATACTGAGATAGCATTCCCACAAGTGAAAATGCTGATGAGCGACATATTGCTGCGAATAATTGACACTAGCCGCTGTACAGGTTAAAGCCACCTAACAGCCAAATTATCATTCCCTATCTCGTTAGCAGGGCAAGCACTTAGCGGCAGCGGCTAACCCGCTAGCACAGCAGCCTCAAAGCTACCTACTTACCGATTCACAGTAGGTCGGCAGGTAAGCTGGTGTATCCCTGTATGTGCACGAAAGCAGCACAAGACTTTGAATATCCTTTTTGTGTTTTGACATGGATGGTTTTACGCAAGTGTATTGTCAACTGTCTATGGCTAGCTAGCTGAAATTCATTCTTCTTCTTCGTCTTCTTCTGAGGTTTATTAGCAGTTGGCAAACAATGAATTGATCCATTACCGCCACCAACTGGTTAGGAGTGTTGGTCAAGAAGCTGGTGAAACAAACAAAAAATAAACTAATAAATAAATAAAACTTTATTATGTATACATTTATTTAAACATTTTAAGATTTCACTACATTTAACTGTTTTGTTTCTTTAAATGTTACTTATTGCTCTGATAACTAAAAATAGTAGTCTACAGTTTTGAAGTATTTGAATGTATTTGTATTTTATGATTATATTTTAAAAAATACTTTCTCTGAATAGGCTTTTGTCATAAAACATCATACATATCACACTTTCAATATTGACAAAATGAAAAAAAAAATAACAACCAGAAAGGACATATTAAACCAAATATAGAAAAAACATAAAATGAACTATGCAGTATTTACTTCAAACAATGCAGCCTTTTTGTGTTTTTATATCCACCCTGAATGTGTAAAAACATATACCGACTCAGAGGTGGTATACTCAGTTATAAGTGACTAAAGGCCCTGCATTTAAAATGCTAATTCAAATTGCATAAATCTTATCAGCAAAATGAACTTGTATCAAAAGTAAAGGTACTCATTATGCTACAGAGTGAGTGAGTTATATTATTAAAGATTATGTTTTTTGATTAATACTAACATCTGAACATTGCAGTTGATCCACTTGAAGCAATTATAATTGCTTAATGTGCTGTTGGGCTGTTTATTTTGTAATTTTGTAATTTTGTACATCATATTTAGAAGCTGTCCATCTTTATTTACCTAATGGAGCAAGGTAAGGCATCTTTATTTATCTGGCACATTTTATACATAGAGGCAATTCAAAGTGAGAGGCAAGGAAAACAGTGACAGCATTAAAAACGATAAGCATTACAACCAGAATAGAATCAGTTAAGTCAAAATGAAGATAAAATATTGTTAAAATGAGATAAAATACATAAAGTGAAAATAAGGTCTGAAACAGAAATCTAGTAGTTACAGTGCAGAAGTAGAGCTTAGATACCAGACAGTCAAAGGTACAAGAAAATAACGTTTTCAGTAGAGACCTGAAAATGGCAGAGTTGGGGCACATCTAAGGTCATTGGGAAGTTGCTTCCATCAGTGTGCAGCACAGCAGCTAGTAAAAGCAGCTTCACCCTGTTTGGCTCTGACCCGAGGTTCTACCAGCTGATTTCTGGGTTTGTATTCGAGATCAGACATGTATATTGGCTCCAAACCACTGTGTGATTTATAAACTAGCAGAGGCACTTTAAAATTTATTCTGTAGGTAACCAGTAGCCACTGTAGGGATTTAAGAGCAGGAGTGATGTGCTCATTTCTCCTGGTTCTGGTTAAAACTCTGGCAGCAGTGTTTGAATGAGCTAAAGTTGTCAGTTTTTTTGGGAGGCCTAGAGAAAAGACTGTTACAAAGTCCAGCCTGCTGGAAATGAAGGTATGAATTAGTTTCTCTGTTTCTTGTCTGGGCATGAGACCTCTGAGTCTTGCTATTTGTTTAAGATGATAAAACACTTAATTAGTTATGGCCTTGATTTGAGTGGTTAAGGTCAAATTCTATATTTATCCTTATTTACTGCAGTCTGGCCATAGATACAGGACTTTAAAACAGTGAAGGGCTCACTTTGGGAGGAGTTATGTCCATTCAGCCATAGCACTACTCAACAAACTGCTTCACTGACTCTGTGTGGATAGAGATCTATCTGCATGAGTACAGCCACCAAGTTTATAATATTGTATAGCTGCATGTTTCTTTGTGTGTGTGTGGAATATGTACAGGCTGTGACAACAAATCCCCCTCTAATCTATCTATTCCCAGAAATGTAGTGAGTAGAAGTATAAAGTATTTTCCATAAAAAGGAAAAGAAAAAAAATACTCCCATTTTAAATGTAAGTACAGTACTTGAGTGGTGCATGTTACCTTCATTACTGTCCAGAATCCTTTGGCCAGTCATGTATGGAAGGTGTACAGGTTAATTTGTAAACAGGTCCCAAGCTACATGTAGTATTTTGATAACAGTTTTTTTTAGTGCTTTTGTTTTAATTCGTCAAAACCTTTTTCTGTTCAATACTTGATAAGGTTCTTAACTGAGTGCTGGTGCACTTCTTTATCTTTAAAACCTATCTTTGTATTCTGTTTAAAGAAAACAAAGTGAGTTCTTTCAGCTATACCATCCCATAGATACTGTATATGAAATGATTCTCCAGGGCACCATTGTGTTGTAGGCCCATTAACTCTTCTAACTTTCATGAACAGCTTCAAACACATATCCAGCAATGGCTTAACACAAAATGTGTGAGTGTGCATACATGTATAGGCATACACTGTGAGGACCACTTTAAGTTATATACCATGGGAGTGAGGACATGCTTCAGTTTCTCACACCCCTTCAAATAGACTTTAGGGTTAAGTGTTAGAATTTGGTTTAGGTTAGGGTTGAGGTTGGGCATTTTAGGGTAAAGGGCTACGGAATGCATTATGTCAGTGAGTGTCTTCACAACTATAGTATAGCACGGCTCTGTGTGTGTGTGTGTGTATGAGAGAGAGAGAGAGAGAGACAGAGAGAGGGGTCCTCCATTTATCATTGATCCACTGCAGGACTGTGTTTCAGTGGGTGTGAATTATGGGCCCCTGGTGTCACTATGCCTGCTCTGGGTTGGGCATTTCACCTCGCCACTGTAAATTTAAAAGGGGAATTAGAAAAGTGGATTTTGCTGACTCCTGATTTCAAAGCTATAGCCTGACCAAGTGCAGACAGCTGGCGGGTCCCCCATACAGAAGAGTTAGACAGTCCGCATTTGCAGGATTTGGGATTTCGCAAGGGTCTGAACAAGGCTGCTGGCAAAGGAAACGCATTGTGGATCACAGAAAAGCCCAGTAGGTCGTTGTTTGCACATTTAGTCTACGCACTCTTTCTCTCCCAGTAAAAAAAAAACCTTTTCTAGTTGACTGGGCGTTTTGGACGCGCTCGGTAAACGGTGATGCTACGGCGACGCGCAGGAACCGTAGAGGGAAGAGACAGGTGAGGTGCGGCTGGCGATCTGCTGTTATTTCAGAGAAGCTTTGGATACCGAGAGCCGTGGGATCCATCACCCTTTTCTCCACAGAGAGGCAGAAGAGCGACCGGAAAGGGCGAGTATAGGCGACTGGCACCTGCCTCAGCCTCCCTACCTGGCCATCTGGTGCGGTGAGTGTGCCAAATGGTGGTACTGAGAGATGGATATGTATGAGGTAGACTGGGGGTGGATGGGGCGAACAGGTATATACAGCATGTGCGCAATTTTATTACTGCCTCCGAACGAGATGCTGCATTATTACTCCCCGTGAATGGATGCCTGTATGGCATCGTCTGGACCTTGGTGGACATGAACTGTTCTTTGTGTCTGCTGCAAGTTTAACGTTTTATTGGCATATCATGTGCTTATCTTTTTTTTTTACCTTGTAGGCTACATCATTACATGTCATTGTTCTTTCACGTGTTGCATAGGATCTTAATAGTTTCCTTCACGAAGATTTTAAGTGATGTCTCACCAAATAAAGCTCACAGTACTTGTACATTATAACACTGCACTGCAATGACAGGCACAAAACCTGACTGAATTTCTTATTTAGATCTAGATGTTAGGTCGTCATCTAAATGAGGCTTATTGCTGTCAGATGTTAGTCTATATTTCATTGTGCCCTTATGTAAATTAATGGCGTTTTATTAAACGCTTGATTTAGGTTAGTGTTAACAAGAGTAAAGGTCAGATTTGATGATTTGAAGCCATAAAGTGAATTGATTATGTCATGACTCACTGACAGTATGGAGTGGCATGATGCATGCACAGCCTAAGTCACTGATATGTAGAGTCCAAATAAATAAAAGGAAATAGATTTAGACAGCTGGTGTGACTACAGATCTCTAGAGAAGACTGACACAAAATGGAAAAATACTCAATGTGAACATCTTTTGCCCAAAATGTGTCCTGTTCACTTGCTACTCAAATTGCCTATAATCACACTGCTCACTCACAACCTCTATGGCCCAAATGCTCACTCACTGCCAGCCAAGTTCTTACTGAAGTGATTTAATAGTTACATGTAAGTTATTGTTTACAACTGCATCCTTCACGCTGAAAGCTATCAAGCTCTGCAGAAGGACTATAACAGCTACCAACTGCTTTGTTTTTGTTGGTGTTCCTGTGCGAATTTAAAGGCAAAACGAGATGGATGGAGAAAAATTATTAAAGGAGGAAAGGGAGAGAGCAACATAGACAGACAAACAGACTAGGGCATAGAAAGGATATAGTGTGGCAGATAGCAATCTGGCATATAGGCTACAGGGGGATAGGCAGAGGATGTAAACAGCTGAAAAAGAAATGATGGAGCAGAAAGCACAGAGTGAACGAGCGTTGAGGGAGAGGGGCTGCAGACAGCAGTCTGAGCTGGTGTGAATGGTCTCCCTGTTATCCCTGCTGCCCACACAGACGGCTACACAGCAGCCGTGTGAGCAGGTGCTAACTCCACCACACAGCAACCGCAGGGAACAACAGGTGCAGCCACTGTTCCCTTCAGCTTCCCATTGGAAGGCAGTCTAACACCCACCCATCCCAAACACACAGCTATACCAAAGCCTTTTAACACCAAAACACCCACAACCCATACTGAACCAAATGGATGCTTCAATTTACATTAAAAAAGAAAGAGCAGGCCGGAGTAATTCAAATATAAAATTAATTAGGCTGCAAACAAAGTTGGAACCACTTGAAGAAATAAGAAGTTCAGGTAAAAGCAATCTTGCATAGAGTCTCAGGGTGAGACTCAAGTGCCCCCAGGGACCTTTAATGAGCTCTATTGATCACATAGGACCCTATTCATTCATACATGCTAAGCCGCTAACAGGACATCTCAAGCACGGGAAAAATTAGCTTGGATTGCAGCATAATACAGCCTTGCCCACAAAGAAAGTAAATCAACAGCAGATTAGTGTGGTGGGGTTGCTAAGGAGCAAGTTTCTAGAAATGTGTAGAATGACAGTCTGAGACCTTGTGTGTGTTTGTGTGTTAAACAGAATGCAGTGAAACAGGCAGAAGATGTTGTAAGGAGAGAGATGTTACCTAGCAGCTTCTCTGTTCCTATCACCCAGAGAATACATCAAGAAATTGGTGACAAATTGCCTCCCTTTACCTCTGGTACACAGAGAAGAACACTGACTGACTTAAGCACTACTTGTTTCAACACTGCTGTGCACTAAGTCCATAGTTTTCTAGTTCTGCTTTGTATCAAAAAGGAACAGCTTGTTTCTTTTGTTAGACCCGAGTTGACTTTAAACCCAGGACATGATTTCAAAGTTACCAAAAGATTTTTTTTACTTCTTGTCATTTTTAACCTATACTCCCTGTACATTTCTTTGCTTTCGCTCAGACTGGAGGTACCTTCTTAACACTCCTCTATACAGTATGGTCTTTTAGAGTTGAGATGAACTTTGAGTATCTTCTAAAGCTTGCTGTATCAACTCCCATCTGCCCTATCTGTAACCATGCTTGCCCTGAAAAATAGACAGGATTATTCACTAATATGATAATAAAATAAAGCAGTTAATACTAGTGTCAAGAGATTTTAATGGAATGCTTATTTTCCTCACAAGCAGTCAAATACTGTACAGTATCTTTGGAGGCTCCAGTTTCACACAGAGTGCGGTGTTGATCTGGGGGTAGGGCTTAGTGGGATTCTTTAGAACAAAATCTGCACTTGAAAAGGGCGCTAAAGTTCGGGGACTTGAGGGCAATAAGGTCTGATGGACACAGCCTGGCTGGCATCTGTTGTGTGACCTATTCCAGTAGGGTCCTCAGAGCGTGGACCTCAGGGAGTCACTGTGCGGGATTAAGGGGACCAGAGGGTCAAGAGTCACGCAGACATACTTTCTTTACTTGTCAAAAAGTAGCTCTTATTTTAAGGTGGGTGTTTAAACTAAACTCCCTCATGCAAAATAATCTTTTGTGTTGATCAGAGAGGCTTTCAGGATCCTGACTGGGCCCTTTTGGGCAAGTCCTTCCAGATGTTTGAAAAGGAAAGGAGCACAATGATAGGAATGTTGTGGAGCAAACTCTGTCCAATAAGCTGTATGCCATGAGATAAATATTTAGTGTCTAAGGTAGCTGCACCATGTGGTTTTGGTTGCTGTATCAGTCACATATACCGTGTAATAACCCACTGCAGTTGTTTTCAGTGTAAGAATCCCTCATATTCTCTCCCGTGCCCATGCATCTTCAGTTTTATGACTCTCTGTCTTCTCTGATTCCTCCCTGAGGTGCAGGCTCTTTTTAATGCTTCCCTGTGCACATTGTGTGGTCCCTGCACATAGCACACTAACACGTGCGGTCGTTTTATAGTGCATTGTTCTGTCTATATCATCTTAACAACATCTAGGGGTCAAGTAGATAATTGCACATACATAATTTATGATGGTGTGAATGTTAGGGTACACACATGCATATTTTATTTGTGTGTACTCTTTGTATGTTTGTGTTAGATTGTGTATTATGGTGATAAAAAGTATGAGTGAGTTTGTCCCTTCTCTTTTTGTATGCAGCTGGTCCTCCCATTTAACTGCCTGGCAATTTGGTTGTGAGTGATATCACAGCTGTTTCGATTTACAAAGATAGAGGTAGTCTAATCTCTTACCTTCTGTGATCTAATTTGCATAGCAAAATAGCAAAGTGAGAAAATGACCATCCCTTTCAGGATTTCACTGAAGCACTCACATGCGTTTTCACACAAAAAATAAGCAAATAACCAAGTAACCTTTTGTCAAATGCCACAACTGAGGCCCTTGTCTCTTTATGTCTTTGCACAAAATGAATGGTGGTATATGTATTTCTCATTAGCGTAGTCTATCCAATTTCTGCTTTTGTTGACCAGCAGACTCAGTGAGCACCTTAGCCAAAAGGATTAGCTTTAGTAGTAGCCGCTTAGCCAAAGGAATTTAGAAGTTGTTTTTATTGGGAGATAAAGGTGCATGTGAGTCTTTTGTCTCCCAGTTACTCAAGATAGTTTTGTAGCCTAATGAACCTTTGTTGTGGTGGCTAATATGTCTCTTTCCTTCATCCTGTCCTCTCCAACATCTGTCCCTTCTTCACAACAAACATAACTTTTCTCTTTTAATTATGGCTTTTCATCTGAGGCCCAGTCACAACTGAGAGGAGACGAGCAAAGCGTAGCAGAAACACAATTATACTTATGAGGCGGAGAGTTGGCTCCCAGGCGAGGTGTCTGCAGGTGTGTGTGTGTGTGCGTGTGTGTGCATCATATGCATGCTTGCACATGTCAGTCCACAAGCAGGTTCACTGACATTTTGATATCTGTTGTGTGTGGACCCCCTACTGTGAGCTGTGATCCTCTTAGCAGGCTTCTGTCAAAAGAGCTATATTTATCCTTACTGGTGATCATAGCCCACAAAGAACAACATGATGAGAATATGAGCTACCTTTGAGCCTGTGCCTGCTTCTGCACCAGCATAAGAGAAGGCACTAACAGGGTATGAAATATATGGTAATAACGCCTGCCACAGTTAGATTTTAGAGCAGGCTTTTTAGCATAGTCTTTGTTGAAGGGGAATAATGATAGGCAGGGATGTGTTGAGTAGTGGTCACTGAGAAATAGAAAGCAAACACATAAAAAATATAAGAAAAAGCACAGATATTCATGGTTGGCATCACAATTGTTGTCATGGAAACGTACAAATGTTCTTCTTTGTATTACATATTAGAAAACCAAAAAGGTTACCTTAATGGTTACGGAGTATATCAAATGCTCCACAGAGACAGATGTTGCCTTGTACGGTACAAAGGCCACCATTAACACTGTGTGACAAAAAGAATAATAACAGCATTAAAACAGGTCAAATTCATAGATGAAAAACCTTTGTCACGGTTGTGTAATTAGACCACATCTTCGTTGCTGTCGTACGGGGTGTGTGTGTGTGCATATGTTTTGCTGTGCGGTCATAGTGTGTGTCTGAGCAAGTGCATTGCATACTCATGTGCTCAGCTCTTGCTCTGAGCTGTGCAGTGAATGTATATGTGCTTACTGCAGTCAAACTCTGGTTAGTAAGGTTTGCCCTTGCTGCGGCTTTGTACAGCACCATAAATGTATGTGTGTGTTGTTTTTATGTGTATTTTGGTGCATTTCACGCCTCAGTGCAGA